GTTTAAGTAACTGATATACCAATATTGAAAAGGTAAACTGTATATTTATTATTCATAGTATCATCCCAGTTTGGATTAGAGACGTTGACACTTGTTATGCCTTTTCATATCTGTTGATGAACAAGACACAGTCTCACCTAGGGTGCCTTTGTGTGTGCGTGTGTGTGCGTGCGTGCTCAGTCAAATTAAGATCCTACACACAAACACTATTTTTGTAACCATGAATGGCTCATAAATTGTAGTTTCTTTAAGCTTCTGTTAAATAGCAGCCTTAATGAAATAACAAGGCTTCTTTTTGGAATATGCACTTAAGTACTCTGCTTTCCAGTTGGACTTGAAAGGTATGCTCCAATTGTGCTGTCATGTCCAAAATAAAGGTTTTTTTAAAGGAAGTATAGGCGCTTTGAAGACCCCAATTAATCTACGTAGAAAGTAAAATTGGTTAGTGGTGGAACCAATTTGAAATTGGCAGTGAAGGAGTGATACCCAGTTTATGTGCCAACCCAAGGCAGTACATTGAAAGTAGCACTAGTGGGTGAACTGGTCATTTTTCCTCCTCCTAAAGCAGTTTCAAACATGTAGTAAGGTTGCATTTCCACACATGTTGCTTTTTAAGGGACTGTCTCTGAAATCCAGTAAACTTGAGCTAGACATGGAAATTCAAACCCCAAGTAGTGGCAATCTGTGTCTCAGTTCCCCTCCCATTGACTGATGCTGTGTTCCAGCAGACCTCCTTTCACAAACCAAAACTCTGGTGACCAAAAACATTGTTGCATTTTGTGATATTTCTTGTTCAGGATGAGATTTGTGACCATAGAAGCCTGTGTATTGGAACTCAAAATTTTAGTTTGCTTTCAAATATTAAGTTATCTAGTATGTGAAATACTCTTTGTATTAAAACCAGAAAGTCGCTATTAACTTTTTGCTTATAAATGTATAATTTAATGCAAATTGTGGGCTTCTCAAATGGTTGCAGAAGAATCTTTTGGTTAACTCAAGAGTTAACTTTTTGAATCGGTCAATTCCTGAATTAGGTAGAATGGATCCAGTTTTCTTTTTGGTAGCATGCAGCTGCCCTTAATTCTCTTGATTTATTGGGTACTGTGAAATAACTCAGACATTCCAGCTAAGTACAGAAGAAAGTTAAGAGAACCCATTGCTTGGTATACAGCACACTAAACACTCTTGGAAGCAAGTCCCAAGGATTTAAATGTTCTTACTTCCAAATAACTGTGGTTAGTCATGTGCCTAGAGTACAATACCAAGCACACTCTGAACAAACAGTAATAATTGAAATGCTTGGGACTTAACTTACAGTAAATGTGCTTAAGAACAGAGGTTAGAAAGTTGCTCCAGTTGCCATCTTGTTGCAGTCACTACAGGCTTTGCTGTAGACTTCAGAAGAAAGTGGCTTTCATCCTACCTAGGCCTTCAATGTTTTATTCTGACATGTAGATCAGTCAGTTTCCTTAGATGCTTTCACTGCAAATCACAGCACCTTTACACTAACAAAAGAGATTTGCACCATAATTATATTACTTTGCTCTGCATTCAGATGACGACTTCTGCCTTCCTGGTTTAGCAGAAAAAAATATTTAACTGGGGTATGCAGGAAGCTTTCCTGTGCACAGACCCCCTTTGGTTCCATATGTGCAGAATCCTGTATGTGCTGTGAAACCTTTCCAAAATTTAGTACAACTGGTCCTGAAATCATTATGGAGACAAGTGATAGCTGTATGCCATGCACTTCCTTTTAATTTGCAATATTAGTATACATTTTATAAATTTCAAGATGGATTGTAGTACTGTAATGATTTTTTACTTTTCTTGTGATACTGAATGCAATCACTAAAGCGCTGCTTGATCTTGTCCGTTTTAAAATTTATTCTTAAGCGGTGTACTTCTGTAAGTTTTGCTTTGTATATTGGCATGACTTTTTATTGGTAATTTACAGTTTAATGTGGCTGTCTTGTTTTGATCAATGCTAATATTTCCTCTGTTCTTTTTGATACACCAAGATACTGAGCTCTACAAAAAATAATCTCATGGTACATGTCTGTTTTCATAGTGTTTTTTAAAAATCTGTATTTTTGTATGTAGAGAAAACCATAGGTTTTCTGAATCCTAATCTTGTATGAAATCATCGTAAAGGATTTGTTTAATAAATGGATAGGAGCAACTTGTGCCATCCTTTTTCTTATTCCTCGAATGACATATCACTTTAATCCACCTCCAAGTGAGTTGTTGAATAGTTTAATGATGCTGAGAACTTTTACCATTCAGGCAAAATTAACTAAAAGCAATGGCCATTGATTCATTTTTTGCATAAGTATCAATGAAGTCCAAGGGACTGTACAAAACCCACGAGGAGCAAAAGTGCAGTTCTTCAAATCTGCAACAGTGTCACAGACAAAGCTGCAATGGTGACAGAGGTTGGGAGATGAACACAGAACACCCCGCCTCCGGTGGCTATTCATGACCCCATGGATACTTTGTGTGCATGCTGAGCTTTCAGATTTCCTTGTGGTGGAGGGGGCAGGATATAAACTCAATAAATGTAATCTAATAAACCTTTTGCACACAGTCATGTGGCTTTATTTACATAAATATAATGAGTTAAATGCCTCCCGAAGACCCTTCATAAGGGGGGGGGGAGAGAGAGAGAAAGAATTACCGTATTTTTCACGCTATAGGGCGCACCGGACCATAGGGCACACCTAGTTTTTTTTTGGGGGGGGAATAAAGAATGTATTATTTATTTATGCCTGCTATCTGCAAGCCTTGGAAGCCCGCTGGGCACTCCCGCCGCGCTCCGAAGGCTTGCGGATAGCTTCCTGAAGCCTGGAGAGCAAGAGGGGTCGGTGCGCACTGACCCCTCTTGCTCTCCAGGCTTCAGCGAAAGCCTGCATTCACTCCATAGGACGCACACACATTTCTCCTTCGTTTCCGGAGGGGGGAAAGTGCGTCCTATAGAGCGAAAAATATGGTATAGCCGGCTCCTGAAATATCTGCTTTGGAAAAGGGGCATTTAAAAAACCAAGGGTCTGTCCTGCTCACTTCCAGATGCTAATGTCCCAAGATGCCAAAGTATTTCTGTACCCTATGAATATACCCTGTGAGAGCTGCCTGGAAGATTTAAAAAGACATCAGAAGTAAGGCTACACATTTAATATCAATGAAGTTTATTCCAGCATGGTTCATAAATTCTGTGCCAGCTTTGACATGCAGTGTTAAAAAGTCAAGTGAAGACACATTAAAAAAAATATATCACATTCAAGTGTCTGTAAAAAGAGACAGAAATATAAAATGCCCATTTCAAGACTCCCAAGCCCATGCGCTAGACTAAGACAGGACACTTAGTTACCCTGTGAAGGAGCCAGCCTTCAAGAGGGCAGTATTTTTGTCATTTTCAAGCCTGAAAAAAAGTACCTCTAGTGCACTGCTAGCAAAAGTCACTGAAATAAGGATCCCCCCCCCAGTCTTAATGTATCTACAAAACTACTCTATCAATATATTGTGGCTTATCATATGTGGTAAATACTGTGTAGAAATACATTGTTGAAATACAAAACAGATTAACCTTTTAGTTGACGAGAAAGTGGAAAAAGAAATACAGGCTTGCAACGTATAGTCATAACTCACAGTTTAAGGATGGGCTACTGATGCAGCTCACTTTAAAAACAATGCAGGTATTTGTGACTTCTTTTTCTCACTTGGATGTACCCAGTTGATTCTGCCCCACAAGTGCTGTTCCAGCTTGTATTACCGTTCTTCAGAATCGCTATTGCTTGTAGGTTTTTTTTGGTAAATTATTCAAGCTACCGCATTAAAAGCAGATTCCAATTCTCCTTTCCACCTCCTCAAATGCACTTCTGTAAACTGATTTAGAGCAGGCATCCCCAACCTTCGGCCCTCCAGATGTTTTGGACTACAATTCCCATCATCCCTGATCACTGGTCCTGTTAGCTAGCGATCATCTGGAGGGCTGCAGGTTGGGGATGCCTGATTTAGAGGAAAACTGTATCCTAATTCAGCATGTTTCTTTGGTTCAAACAGTGTAGGCCTGTTCATATCAGTTCAGCTTTGTTAAGATTATCCTCTTTTCATAAAAGGATAGTAATTGCCCCCCCCAATAGAAATTCAAACTTTTCTTGTGCATCATCTCAAGGACAAAGTTGATGCACCTTTAGATTGTCACTGCCAAGATCTCATTTGCTGTTATTGCTTAAAGTCCCATATAGTGGAAAAATAACAGATACTGAGCATCCTTGCCTGCTTTCTCTAAAACAATTCATTGTTTGAAAATAAATCACCATTACATATCCTTGCATATCTTATTTGTTAACCCAGATATATCATGAAGGTACATGAAGTTGCCATGGGTCTTATCTAATCCTGCAAAGTCTACCCGGCTGGGTGGGGTGGGCTGCTTTGCTGATGTTACTTGTGTTTTTGAAAACCTTTAGTTAGATAGTTTGGTACCCAGGCAGGAGGTCTTTTTGACTCCGCTGTAATCCTTTTAATAGAGAGTAAACGTGCTCTACCACTGACCTACAGCCTGAAAATATCCAAACAAAGGTTTTATAGGAAACCCAAGCACATGCCACCCAACTCAGCAAAATAGGGCACCCCTGAAGCCTACTGCCATGATTCAAATACAGTGGTACCTCGGGCTACATATCCTTCAGGTTACATACGCTTCAGGTTACAGACTCCGCTAACCCAGAAATAGTACCTTGAGTTAAGAACTTTGCTTCAGGATGAGAACAGAAATTGTGCTCCAGCAGCGCGGTGGCAGCAGGAGGCCCCTTTAGCTAAAGTGGTGCTTCAGGTTAAGAATAGTTTCAGGTTAAGAACGGACCTCCAGAATGAATTAGGTACTTAACCCAAGGTACCGCTGTATGTACTTACATCTTGCATACTAATTGTGCAAGAGCTTTGAAGCTGGTTTTCAAAAGACAAAAAGCGTTGGAAGGGGGACTATAATGTGGTGAAAGTTGGGACACTTATCCACTTTCTCACCTGCTTATCATATGTAGTATGATAAGTTCCCTTCTCCAGCTATTTTCCACAACCCTTGCTAAAAAACAAAAACACAAGCCGATTCTTTGGAACCTTGCATCTCTATGTCTAGACAAGGCATATGGTGTTCAGAAATTGTGGGTAAGACAAAACTAAGTATCCCTATTTCTCTTAGTCATTCTTCTAATGCTGCTTTTCTTAAACAAAAAACAATGGGATGCTTCCATGCATCTGCATGTAACATAAAGCATCAATTATGTTGGAATACGTCTTCTCCATAGCCTTTTTCCTGCATCTATTAAGTCTTCTCCATAGCCTTTTTCCTGCATCTATTAATAAAGGGGTCTCCAGCACACGCACACACAAAATCCATTTCTCATATTTCCTTTTTCTCTCTAGCTTAAAATCTCAATCTAAGGAATTGATTTTTTAAAAGAGTGCTGAAGTTCAGACTGGTTTAGAGTTTTGTGTCCAGTACTGAATAGGTTTCATGCTTGTCTGATGCAATCATCAATGTACGCAACCCTGATTATAGTCTGTTTTTAAAAAAAGGTTAAGAAAATTTACTGAACAGTACATTGTAGTGCTGAATGAGAAAAGACAGAGAAAAACATATCCAGGCTCAAACAGCAGCAGTTTTTCTGAGGAAGTCTTTCATGAGACTAGCATATCCTCAGCAGTGGCTTTGGGTGATGATCTGTACAATGGAAATAAAAAGTTCATAAAAAGGTTACAGTTGCTAAAAGAAGAGTGTGCCCATTGTCCTCCCCTTTTGGCTCTGCAATCTTCTCAAGGCACTGTTGCTTCAGTCGGAATCTGAATCGGAGTCATCATCTGAAAGAGAGAGAGGTTGGTTGTCAATAAAAATGTCAGGGTTGGGGTGGGCCTTATTTTATATGTGCACAATATAAATGCATTGCATTTGCAACAAACCATGCTTCCATGCCTTGGTATCTTTTGTAATACCCCATCATTCCTAACACTTTTTTAAAAATTGGAATTTGAAATGTGTGATGCACAACACAGCCAGATCATTTATTCTAAATACAGAAGCTGAGGGTTGTTTTTTTATTATTATTTAGCTTCTAAACAGAGGATAGCAATACTGGAGAGAAGGCTTGCTCCCATCTACATCTATTGCAAATATAGCCCACAAATGAGCTTGGATCTGTGGCTGATGGCAATGCAAAGCTGGTTTGTACCTACCTTCTGATTTACGTGGCTCAGGGGCATCTGAAGAATCTCCTTGCTTGAGATATGTCATCAGGTCATTAAAGGTTAGGTAGACGTAAACGCAATAGACAACTGTGGCGATGAATCCAAGCACCTGAAGAGCAAAAGGTTTTGAAAAGCACAGTTTTTGAAAACACAAATGAAAGGGGGAAAATTGTGCAGGAACAGTTTATTGAAAACATTTCCCTGCTGGCATCAGCTGCTGTGTGTGTCCCTATTTTAGGGAATTTCAAGCATTTCTAGTCCTCATGAGGAGGTACTTAAAGGGTCACATCAAAGTCATACTGATTTCAGTGAATCTACTCTGAGCATGACTGTTATCAAACTTAAATAAATATTAACAATTAAAACATGGTTTACATCTGAGTGAAGACTAGAACTGTGTGGAAGTGACCTTTCAAAACCCTCCACCCTAATCACAGGCAAAGAAATTGGAGGGACATTCCAGGGTATGGGTTTGTGGTTTTTTTTTTTGGTTTTTTTGCAAAAATGAAATAAAATATATTTAGAAGAAATTCTGCAAAGTGGTCTTTTTCTTAGGGTGGGAGTGTGTAAGGAAAACATATCCAGTCATATCAGAAATAAACATTAGTTGAATTCAGCTCTTGTAAAAACTGTAGTTCTGAAGCATGTGTGCACACACACACATATGGGTGTGGGTGTATTGCAAAACACCTCTTGACATAATAAAGCATAATAATATAATCACACAGCCCTACTGGAAGATTTCTTGTGTTGCACCGCAATTCTGCATTTGCATGAAGTCAGGTTGTTGTAGGGGAGCAACTGTGAAGGCAGGCTGCACAACAGCAGTGGCCACGGAGCTTCATTAATTGGGCGGAGGGTGAAAAGGGTGCTTAGTAGCTGCATTGTGTGACAGGATGAAGATGCAGGAGGTTATCATGGCGCTTGTTTGGATGTAGGAGGCTTGTGTAAAGGAGGGGCAAGGGAAGCATAGATAAGGAGGTGAAGGTGAAAATGGGAGAGGCTGCAGAATAGAGGAGAAAAGTGGCTCTAGAAATGGGGTTGGAAAGGTGAACATTAAGCTTAGTAGGAAGGGAAAGCTCTAGGGGGTTAATGTGGGGGAGATGGCAGGAAGATTAGTGAGGTGATCAGAAGTTTTTAATAGATTAAATACCACAGCTCTTATTTCTATATTACGATGGCCATAGCTGTTCCTTTGTATGAGTATCTCAATACCATTCAATAGATCTTCCTTCGTTTTTGGGTGTTTAATCTTAGTTGCATAGAATGGATGCAAAGCACCTATCAGTACCAGGTAGGTAGGTAGAATTTATCCCCTTATCCTTAACTCCCAGGTATGAACCAGCCTGAAACATCAACTTACTCCTGCTGCCTTGGATGCTGTGTCAGAATATTTTGAGACTGCGGCAATCGAGATGGCAAAATATATAATAGCAGCAATGATGCCACATAAAAAGTCCTGCAAGACAGAGAGTTTTGAAATCAGGTTAGGGACGAAGTTTTAAGTTGGATGGGTGGCAAGGTTATGCACAACACATATCCCCTTAATTGGAGCAAACCAGATAGTCAACTGACAGCCCCAAATCACTTTTAGTTCAACACTGGCGGCTCTACCAAGTTATTAACAGGATGCAATCAAGCTTCTGCACCCAACTGCATATGAGGTTTATTTAGGTTTATTTATTTAGCCAGATGTACATGCTCCTCAATCATATGCAACTATTAGAGGCTCCATATGAAGATGTGCGACTGAATCAAAGACCCTCAGGCCTGTTCAGTGGGGCCCAGATGAACCGAACAACACAGAAACATGCCCACTGGCTGGTCACAAAGAAGCTTCCAGGTGAATCTCTCTTACTACACTGGGCTGAAGGGTATTTCATTGCAGCTTCTCTGAGAAGCAATATACATGGAGATCTTCTGTACCAAGTTTTAGTACACAGAACAGATGAGAGAACTAGTTGGCTATCGTAAGATGCAAATCCTTCAGGAATCTGAAATCCTTTGGAGATCAGAAAGAGGTTGCTATTATGCACCATGCTGAGAACTGTCCACAGTTGCTGTTCATAGACCTAACGTTACTCAGACCTCACCCCTGCAGTGCAGTTGCAGAATTTCCACAAAAGCAGACCTACAGTATCATCTTTCTATGCCATTGTTACTACTGTGCAGGTGACAATGTCTATTCTTGATTTGTGCCACTGGGTGCTTTTCGTCTGAGACAAGTCATTGGGTTAAAAGGAAAAGAAAAGCTGCTCGGTGCTTTTTGAAACAAAAGCTGATTCACAGAAGCATACTTGAGCGCCTTCTTTTGACACAACACATATGGCTTTGCTTCATTACCTTGAAAGCCACTGAAATTTAGTAGAGAAGTTTCCCTGCAAAACACTTGTGTAATTTTTTTCAGGAGAATGTTTTATTGTTAATTCTCCCTTTTACAATTGTTTGGAGAGCATCCTATTAAGTATTTTATAAAATGGGGCAATGTTTAGGGTCAAGCCCTCATTGGGTTTCTACAGCGAATGCCTAGCTCTGCTGCTTGTATCTCTCACAGCAGCTTCTCAGGAAGAAACATCAAGAGGCTGATGGGAAATAACATGCTGTCATTGAGAAACTAAGCTGGAGTGCAGCTTTGCATTGTTCAAACATGGCACTGCTAAATAGGGAATTTGTTTGGGGCCAGAGCAGCACCTAGTGGTCAGTTTCAGGAGCAGCTAGTAACTATTGATAGGCAAAGTCAGTCAGGAGGAAGACAATTTTAATTTATTTAGTATTTATTTAAGGTACTTATATATTTAGAATTTCTAAGTGTACATAAAATCTTTTAAACCCATACAAAGATTGAGAACAATTAAAATTCACCCTAGAAACATAAAAATACCTTTAATTGCCTGCTAAAATAGGAAAGTCTTTGTCAAACACCTGAAGTTAAGCAGGGACGGGGTTGGGATGCCTAAACGTGGCTGAGAGGAGGTTCCAAAGAATTGGGGCCCACCATACTGAATGCATGGCTCCTGGTGGGTGCAAGCCATGTGTTTGAGCCAAGGAGACCACTAAGAGAGACTTCCCCAAAGATCTCTGAAGACTAAGGTCAGGGAAGAGTGGCTTGTCTAAGGCTACCTAGTGAGTTATTTGCAGAGGTTCAGTTGCACAGCCACTATGTTCTATGAATACTCACTCCATCTAAAAATAAGCTCTGATGGTAAGTGACAACAGATTTGCCATCAGAATGAAACCTCTGAAAGACATCAGGGAAGTTCCAGTGGGTTGGGGGGAATCCCAAGGTTTGCGGATATTTATTTTTTTCTGGGGGGACGCAGGGGAACGCATACCCCTAAACATTTTGTGAATCTAAGTTTGGCCTCATTGAGGGGCAGTATTTCAATATGAGTAGGAAAATGAGAGTACCCCTAAACCTTTTTTAAAGAAAAAAAAGCACTGGGTATATGGTAAATATTAATGGAAAACCCCCTAAGTGGGCAGCAACCAGCCCACCCCCCAAACCATTCGGTGAGGATTGAGCATGGTCAGTGGTCACAGGGCGAATAGAATGGAGGGCAGCTGGTTGGAGCAGTGAACAAGGAGCATTCCACACGGCAACATTTTGCACGTTCCACTTGTAGTTGTGATAACTGACAATGATGGCAATAATGAAAATTAGATTTCATCCAAACACAGTAACAAAACTGACAAATGATGTTGCAGCTGAACAGTTTAAGACACACTGATGTGCACCTCAGAGATTTCATATGGTACACAGTGACTGCTATACACAAGATTACTCTTTTAGCCTGGCACTACAAGTCATCCTGGGAGACAACATGGGCAGGTTTTTGCCTGTGTTACCAGGTGCTAAAGCAGTCATACTAGGAGGTTATTCCCATCAACACTGCAGGCTCTCCCAAAATTCCCAGCTACCCATCATTCTTTCACTTCAAATGTGCACCTCCTTCACAGCTTCCTTGCCAACCTTGGATATTCACTCCAAGGCTATGCAGGGTTGGTCACCTGTGACTCTCCTGAAGCTGTTAGTCTCCCAATTGCCCTCAGTTCCAGACAGGCAATACCCGGAGGACCACAGATTCCCTACTGCCCAGTCTAGACAGTGACTGGCAACCCGCCGCCCCCCAACCACCATTTCATTGACTCGACTCAGATTGATCGCATGTGTCCACACACTTACCGCCAAAAGCCAATAGACTGCTTTGAACCTCTCATTAAGCTTTAAAGAATAGGCAAAGAAAAAACACAGGGCCGCCAGAAGAGTTAATAGTGGTACAATCAGGAAAGACCCAGCAGAGGAGGCAATATAACAGATGAAGATGATGAACGACAGCACCTGCAACACAAAGGAGAACATTATTGGTCATCTGGAGCTCAGAGCATGTGGGTTCCTCCAGGCGTCCCTTGTTATTCAGCACTCATTGCAATTCGTGCTCACTATATTATTGCGGCAGTTATACACAATCACACCTTCAATACCATTTGTGCCTGCAGACAGGGATATATCCCCAGGGCCAGATTTAGGTTTGATGAGGCCCTAAGCTACTGAAGGTAATGGGGGCCTTTATATGTCCAGCTGCCATTTGTCACCAACAAATTGTTGCTGTTTTTTATGTTTAATATATGCTTATATGGTAATTTATAGACCTAATAGGTATCTAAATCCATTTGCACATACAAATAGGAACCTACACAACACAAAAGAGAGCCAGTGTGGTGTAGTGGTTAAGAGCGGTAGATTTGTAATCTGGGGAACCGGGTTCGCGTCTCCGCTCCTCCACATGCAGCTGCTGGGTGACCTTGGGCTAGTCACACTTCTCTGAAGTCTCTCAGCCCCACTCACCTCACAGAGTGTTTGTTGTGGGGGAAGAAGGGAAAGGAGAATGTTAGCTGCTTTGAGACTCCTTCAGGTAGTGATAAAGCGGGATATCAAATCCAAAACACTGTTGCTGTTTTCCTTTAAATATTTTTTGGACCCCAAGAGAGTGGGACCCTAAGGTATAGCTTGTTTAGTTTATATGTAAATCCAGCACTGCATGTTCCATATTTTCCTGTTGAAATCCTGTCACTTTTCATACCACAAATTCTCTGTTTGGTTTTTTCGTGTCCTGCTTTCGTTGTGCTACAGTGCAAGAGTACCCTTCCAAATGGGAATAACACAGTCATATTGGAGACCAACCAACAAAGTGGAATGATGTGCAGACAGTCCAGTAGAAATCCACCACTAATGCACTATTTGGGGCTTCTCTTGCACTTCTCTCTAAGTTGTATTTTAGAACAGGGCTGGGCCCATTTCAGGCTTACAAGACCTGCCTTCTTTATTAGAACTCCAATATCCACCAATCAGAGCCAAAGATTCAAAAGACATGTGGTATTAACAACTTGGCACCTCTGATACTCAGCAAAAGAACTGGTTTTGAGTCTCAGAATGGAGTTCAGCCCTTTCATGCAAACATCCATTCCTTGCTTCCCCCTTTCCAAACTGCTTTAGTTTCATCAGCCTAATGCAGAGCTGGGAAGTTAGTATTGCTAAAAGAAACCCGGGAATCTGAAACTCTTGCCTGGTCTACCTGGAAATCAGCCAGAGATTGATCAGTAGATTCCAATTCTAAAATACAGAAGTCCACATATGGCAAACTAAACCATCATCAGGAGCACAAACCTCCAAGCAATGTCATTTTTATGGCAAAGCAAGATTAAGGCTGCAATCCTAAACTCACTTACTAGGGAGCAAGGCCCACTGAACACAGGGGAACTTTTTTCTGAGTAAACACTGCAGGAGAGACAGCAGGAAGCAAACGAGTCCATCTTACGGTAATTTTATTCTGCTCAGTTGTTCCAAGGAATCTCTGTAGAGGAAGCAGACAGCACTTCTTCCTTTTTAAAGATTTGTTAAACCACTCCAAGCAAGCAATGCAAAGCAGCAAATGCTTACTCTGAGGAAACAAGAGTCACACTGTTTTCAGAAACAGTAACACAACATGCTTTATTTAGAATCTGGAAATGATTTGTCTTATAGGAACAAAAACCACATAAGCAAATGCGAGTGGTATTAGCTATCTTTTTTTTAAAAAATGAAATTGACACTTGTTTCTTCAACATTTTTGACATTTCCATTCCACTAAAACTGATTATGTAATTAATTACATTACTTTCACCATTAGGGGATGGAAGAAGCCAAATGGTTGCAGAATGGATGCAGCGCTGATTGTGATGAACACAGGATGCCGGGGGGAGGGGGTGTTTATATAGCTGCCTATATTTGAAGCTAGATTCCTTGTGTTATACACACTCTCTCATATGCACACAGACCTTCCTTTCTGGAGTTCCAAATGGCATGGTGATGGCAAGGTGGGCAACTCAGGTAGTAGGGTTTTTTTATTGCTCTGGGACTTGAGAGCAGATAGGAAGCACACTCTGAGGTAGATTCTCTTAGGGCCACTGGAAGCCTGCCTCCCAGGAATCGCATCATGGCATGGGGGAGGCCAGCCAGCCATCATCCATTGGTCAAAGAAGGAACAGCTGCAAGGAGATCATTTCCTCCGACTTCCGGCTCCATCTGCCTGCTGTTCTGGGCTGCAGAAGCCAAGGGAAAGCACACTCTGGCTCTGTCCATCAGCCAAAGAAACGAGCTACCAATTGCTGTTCAAGCAAGAACAGCAGCAAGGGATGATCAGCGTGGCCCAAACTGGATATAAAGACCCTCTTATAGCTCACCCCTGTGTTCTGACCTTCCTTTGCTTCCCCATGTATTAAAGGTTTGTTCTTTTTTAAATTCAAACCAAACAAAGTTGCAGTGCGATTCAAGAGGTAATGCACAAACGCAAAAGATAATATCTCATTGTGATACCATGATCACTAACTAAGCAACACAATCCACAGGTAAATTCACATCTAGTAACCCCTCCGTGTTGCCACATGGGATGGTGCAGGTAGGTGAGGATCTACACAGTTATTCATGCAACTCATAGAAGGAACTGGACATAATTAATGTTTCACAGTGCCTTGTACTGCTCTCCAATGATACATCAAACATTCTGGCCTTGAACTGACCCCCTGCCTCTACCTCTTCCCTCCACTCCCTTTTTCCTTGTGTACCTTGTCTTTCTCATTTGTAAACTGAATGGCTGGGCCTGTCTCCCCCTCCCTCTTTCTTTTTGATGTGAGCCACGTTGGCAGAGACAATAATTATTAGAGAAAAATACAGCAAATGAAGAAAAAGCAAATCTTGCGCAAGAAATTGCTAGTCATTGTCAACAACTGTTTGTGACGTCTGTATTAGAAGGGAGGGCAGAAAGGAGGACAAAGAAGGGGAAAACAAAAAATGGGAAATAACTACATCAAGAGAATAACAGAATCCTAGAGTTGGAATGGATACCAAGGTCTAACCCCCTGCAATGCAGGAATCTCAGCTAAAGCATCCATGACAGATGGCCATCCAACCTCTGTTTAAAAACCTCTAAGAAAGGAGAGTCCACCACCTCTAGTGGGAGTCTGTTCCACTGCTGAACAGCTCTTACTGTCAGAATTTTTTCTGAATGTTTAGTCGGAATCTCCTTTCTTGTAACTTGAAGCCATTGGTTCAAGTCCTACCTTCCAGAGCAGGAGAAAACAAACTTGCACCATCTTCCATGTGACAGTCCTTATGATATTTGAAGATGGCTATCATATCTCCTCTTCTCCAGGCTAAACATACCCAGCTCCTTCAAGTGCCTGCATAAGGCTTAGTTTCCAAACCCTTGATCATCTTGGTTGCCCTCCTCTGCACACATCCCAGCATGCCAATATCCTTCTTGAATTGTGGGGCCTAGAATTGGACACAGTATTCCAAGTGTGGTCTGACTAAGGCAGAATAGAGTAGTATTAGTACGGTACTTCCCTTGATCTGGACACTATACTTCTGTTGATGCAGCCTAGAATAGCATTAGCTTTTTTTGCTGCTGCATCACACTGTTGACTCATGTTAAGCTTGTGGCCCACCAAGACCCCTAGATCCTTTTCACATGTACTGCTAGTAAGCCAGGTGTCCCCCATCCTGTATTTGTGCATCTGTTTCTTCCTGCCTAACTGCATAACCTTACATTTGTCCCTACTGAAATTCATTTTGTTAGCTTGCACCAGTTCTCCAATCTGTTAAGGTCATATTGAATTCTGATTCTGTCTTCTGTGGCATTAGCTACCCCTCCCAGTTTGGTGTCATCTGCAAATTTGATGAGCATCCCCTCAATTCCTTCACCCAGGTCATTTATAAGGACATTGAACAACAATGGGTCCAGGACAGAACCCTGTGACCCCCACGTGTCAATTTTTTCCAGGATGACAAAAGGTAAAGGTAAAGGGACCCCTGACCATTAGGTCCAGTTGTGGCCGAAACTGGGGTTGCGGCGCTCATCTCACTTTATTGGCCGAGGGAGCCAGTGTACAGCTTCCGGGTCATGTGGCCAGCATGACTAAGCTGCTTCTGGCAAACCAGAGCAGTGCATGGAAACCCCGTTTACCTTCCCGCCAGAGTGGTACCTATTTATCTACTTGCACTTTGAGGTGTTTTCGAACTGCTAGGTTGGCAGGAGCAGGGACCGAGCAATGGGAGCTCACTCCGTTGCGGGGATTCGAACTGCCACCTTCTGATCGGCAAGTCCTAGGCTCTGTGGTTTAACCCACAGCACCAACCGCGTCCCTTCCAGGATGACAAGGAACCATTAATTAGTACTCTTTGGGTTCGGTCAGTCAACCAGCTACAAATCCACCCAACAGTTACCTCGTTCAACCCACATTTTACCAGCTTCCTCGTGATAATATCATGGGGAACTTTGTCAAAAGCCTTACTGAAATCAAGATACACTATGTCCACAGCATTTACCTGATCCACCAAATTTGTAATTCCATCAAAAAAGAAAAAAGAAAAAGAAAAAGAAATCAGATTGGTCTGGAGTGATTTATTTTTGAGAAACCCATGCTGGGTCTTAGTAATCACAGCATTACTAATCACAGCCACCTGCCTGCCCTCTTACATACACCAAGCTCATGGAGTGACCCTGTAAGGGGTAAGAGGAAAGGGTAGAAACAAAGGCTCTGTTTGTCTCCAGGCTTCACACCAGAACTGAATCAGATTGGCTCAATCATCTCCCCCCTACCACTCTGCAGCCAACTTTGGAATTTGGATGCTGAAACTTTATAACAGGGGTGGGCACCTTATTTCAGATTGAGGGCTGCATTCCCTTCTGGGCAACATTCGGGGGGGGGGGGAGGCACATGCCAGTAGAAGGCAAAGCCAGAATCAAAAGTAGATGGAGCAATAAATGTATACTTCACCTTCTTATAGTAGGGCAGTTTCTACACATCTCTTTCTCTATCTTCCACACAGATAAGAGGCACTAGCAGAGGTCAAGGATATACTCCACCCAGGCAACAAACACTTACAGCATGATGCAGGGATGCTGAGGGGTGTGGCCTGGGAGAGCTCTGAGGGCCATACAGAGAGGCCTGGAGGTCCCTGAGTCTCCTCACCACTACCATGGGGTTGGAAAAAGCATCAGAACTTAAGACAAGGTTACCAGATTTTTTTCAATGAATCCGGGGACACTTTTCAACTTCAATGGATTTTGTATGGGGACTGATTTGTAAATCCGGGGACTGTCCCCAGGAAACAGGGACGTCTGGTAACCTTAACTTAAGAGCCACAGCTCACTTAGTCCAACAACTTGACAGCAGCCAACCAGATGCCTCTGGGAAGCCCACAAGCTGGACACAAAGGTAATAGCCCTCTCCCCCAAAAGTGCCACCAAGTCCCATGAGAACCAAGGAGGTCCCAGGTAGCCAGTGTGACTAAACAGGTACTGATGGAGCTCTGTGAATTTATTGAATCCCCTTTCTGATGCTATCTGCATTGCTGATCCCCACCACATTTTGTGGCAGTGAATCCCATAATTTCATTATGTGATTTGTGCAGAAGTCCTTTTCTTTGTCCGCCCTGAATCTCCTGCCAATTTAGTTTCATTGGATGACTCACTTAACACCAGATTTTGGGAGAGGCAGCGATAGAATTTTCTCTATCTAGTACAAGACACATCATTTTGTAAAAGTTATGTCATATATTCCCACCCCAACACACACACACACACACACACACACACACAGAGAGAGAGAGAGAGAGAGGGAGAGAGAGAGAGATGGGAGATGCTTTTAGGAGACTCCCTAGAAGAGATCTCAGCGCTAGAACAATCAACAGAGCACCCAAAACTCTGCCCCTTTCAATTTTTGTGTGAAAAGTTCCTCCCTGTGGAACGCCCTCCCATCAGATGTCAAAGAATTAAACAACTATCTGACATTTAGAAGACATCTGAAGGCAGCCCTGTGATTAAGAGCGGTAGTCTCGTAATCTGGGGAACCGGGTTCGCGTCTCTGCTCCTCCACATTCAGCTGCTGGGTGACCTTGGGTCAGTCACACTTCTTTGAAGTCTCTCAGCCCCACTCACCTCACAGAGTGTTTGTTGTGGGGGAGGAAGGGAAAGGAGAATGTTAGCTGCTTTGAGACTCCTTAAAGGGAGTGAAAGGCGGGATATCAAATCCAAACTCTTCTTCTTCTCTTCTCTTAATGACTGATGTTTCAATGTATTTTTAATCTTTTGTTGGAAGCTGCCCAGAGTGGCTAGGGAAACCCAGCCAGATGGGCAGGGTATAAATAATAAATTATATTATTATTATTATTATTATTATTATTATTATTATTATTATTATCCCTCTCAAAAGTTGCATCACCAGGTATGAATATCCAGCTAATCCGCAGCCCTGAAAAAGCTCTAAGGGCAGGATGAGGGGAGACTTGAGCAAAGGAAGCTATTTTAAACCAGGTCTTATAACCTTAATGCAGCTATTCTCAAACAAAGGAACTTCAATGGAAGACTTGAAACGGCTGGATTTGAATTTATCAAGGGATTGAATGCTATCATTTGTGGTTTTAAATGAGATAGTCATACCTTATCAGGCTACAGTGAGTTAATTAACTTACCCACGATAGGATTTGTGTTATCGCCTACATTGTGTACCATCACTGCTTTCTTCCAGGCCTGGTTGCTGAGTATTAATCCTCATCCGTTTGCACAAACTTTGGCGGGATGTCAGGGGTGGCTCATCCTGTTGTTTCGCTGCCCCTCCTCTTGCCACCCCCACTGAAGCCTTGCTTACCAGGGTTGTGCCACAGTACTTTGTGGACACATCTCAGCAGAAGCTGCTGCCTCTGCTCACTTCTCCAGGGCGGTGGGACACCACACCTGTGTGGAATCCACTGCTCAAAGTGGCTGCCTCAGTCCATGCCAGGCCAGCCCTTAGGACTGTTATAGGCACATCCAATGTTGTATTGAGCATTCATTCTGATTTGTTTGCCAGGACCTCATGTCAACCAAATGTTATCCCACGGTTTCCACTGTATTTCCCCCTCAACTTAAATAGACTGTGGGGTGGGGGTGCTAAGCACATTCGTTGCCCAAGAGAGCCAAATCCACTTTAATTGCTCAACTTGAATATGACAGGATGCAAACTGATTTCGGTTGCAACATACAGCCAGCCTGGAAAAGGCCACCGTTAATAACCCCCGTCCTCACTATCTCTTTGACTTTATACAGTTCCTTTCCCTCATACGTCACTATTCTACAACCCCAACGCCACGAGTGCTATTCACATCCGCAACTTCATGCTTCCAAAGTGGACTCTAGCCCAGAAAAGCGTTTGCGCCGTAATAAACTGCTTAGCTTCCAGGGTGCCGGAAGCCTCTTTCTTTGTTTTTGCTAGTACAGAAGTCGCCCGGGCCTGTGCCTTCTCTTGTCTCTCCCTCTCCCCTCCGGGGTGGGCGTGGTGGCCACCATCGGAGTCCCTGCGAGGCGGGGGGGGGGAATCCTCGTTTCTAGGCGAATCCTACAGGACGCCTGCTGGAGCCAGTCCTGCTTTCCCAAGGGCCTCAGGCTGCGATCCAGCGCGCACGGTTTACCTGCGAGTAAGCGCCCACTGGACAGAGCTCGATTCTGAGTCCACGGGCACAGGAAAGATTGCTGCGGGAGAGGGTCACGTTCAGGGCAAAGGAACCCGACCTCGTTTCCCTCCTTTGCAAACTTCCCGCGGCGTGGAAGCCTTTTGCCAGAAGAGATTGCGAGCAGAGCCTGCAGTTTCTTCGCCGCCGCCCCACTTCCTCGTCCTCTCCGCCTCCCTTCCCCACGCGCAGCCCTTGACTCGAGTTTGCAATGCATTCGCCCCCGCCCCCCCTTCCGCGCCCCATCTTACCGCCTCGGCCAGCAGAAGCCTCCCTTTGCGGGAGCTCAGAAACTCCTTGAAGGATAGGAGCAGGCGAGCCCCCGGCGGAACCGCGCCGCCGGACTCGGGATCCTCCGCTTCGGCTCGCTCCATGCTCGGCTGCGCGGATCCGAGCGAGGCGTCGCCTAGCCAAGAGCGGAGACCAGCTCGCCCCGCCGAGTTTGTGAGAGTTTTTTCCCCTCGTTTTCAAAGGGAGGGAAACGGAAATCCTGATTCTGCGGAAATGGGGGGCAGAAAACGCCGAGCCGAAGAAAAAAAAGTTTCCTCAGCGGTTGCCAAATCTACAGCTGGGGACGCTGCCGAGCAGCCGCTGCCGCGCGGCAATCTCGTCCGCCCCGCCCCTTCCGACGAAGAGCCGGGCGGGCGCCACGTTAGGCGACCCCCGCCCCCGACTCGTGCAGCTGCTGGAAACAGGGAGTACTTCCTCAGGCGAGTCCGTGCGCAGCTGTTGCAAACCCCAGGACGTGACCCTCGGGGAGCTTGCGCCCTGCTGCAATTTTGCTTCGAAGACCCTTGCTGCATCAGAGATGGAAGATCCACCTGGTCCCTGTTTCCTAGAGCCCCCAACGGCCAACAGCCGCAGTCACCTCCACACGGTACATTTAAAACACGCTTGTACCACTTTAACAGTCTTGAATTCCCGCAAAGAATCCTTGGAACTGTGATTACAAGGGTACAGGCTTTGCAGAGCTTCAGTTCGCAGCATAGCTGCCAACTCCCAGGGTGCCCAAGCACCAGTGGCGTAGCATGGGTTGTCAGCACCCGGGGCAAGGCAAGTAATTTGCGCCCCCTAACCCGTGGATTTGTGCCCCCAAACCTGTGGATTTGCACCCCCTAACCCATGGATTTGCCCTAACCCCAGATGTTGCGCCCGGTGCGGCCAGCCGCCCCTGCACCCCCCACGCTACGCCACTGCCAAGCACCCACAAAATTCCCCATGAAGGGGCCGGGCACCCACAAATTTGGGTGCCAGGGCCATGTACACTGCATGGCACCCACAGCCCTGGGACCCATGGTCAGGGGGCTAAGCTGACACTCCTGGTTCCTAGCACCCCACACAAATGACACTTCCCAGGATTAGCAGTGACTCTTGTAGTGGTTTTTAAGAGTTTGTTTTACCATATGGTGAGGATGTGATATAGATGACTCTGAATGTTCACAAGCAGCCCTTTCTCACCAGTCACACCCTGTTGGCAGCAAAAATAACAATGGCATGAAGACTTAGTTTGGGCTGGGTATGCGGATGAGACTTACCTCTACCTCTTATTTAAAGCAGATCCAGTGAAGGTGGTGAATGTCCTGTTGGAGACGGTTGGAGGATGGATGGCATCTAACGGTTTGAGGTTGAATTCCAACAAGACAGAAGTATTGTTACTCGGGGGCAGGGAGGGCAGAGACTTATGAATGCAGCCCTGTATATAGGGAAGCTTTTTAAGGTTTAATGTTTTACAATGTATTTATATACAGTGGTACCTCGGGTTAAGAACATAATTCGTTCTGGAGGTCTGTTCTTAACCTAAAACTGTTCTTAACCTGAAGCACCACTTTAGCTAATGGAGCCTCCTGCTGCTGCTGTGCTGCCAGAGCACAATTTCTGTTCTCATCCTGAAGCAAAGTTCTTAACCCGAGGTAATATTTCTGGGTTAGCGGAGTCTGTAACCTGAAGCATATGTAACCTGAAGCATATGTAACCCGAGGTACCACTGTATGCTGGAAGCTGCCCAGAGTGGCTGGGGCAATCCAGTCAGATGGGCAGGGTCCGACTACTACTACTATTAATGATGTAAGTTTTTATAGACGCCACTGGATGCATGATGGCAGGTATCATGCATCTGAAGAAGCAGGCTCCAGTAATTCATGAAACCATTACATCATAAGTCCATTTGTCTTTACATTTACCTTACTTCCCTTTAAGCTAACAGCAGATTGTCATTCTGACCAAAGTAGGAAGGAACTATGATGAGTTTTAACTATGGTTGAGCGAAACAAACCAGGATCAGCAATAATGGTTTGATCTTGGGTTGTTTGGCCAAAACAGAATGTAAGGAAATGACATGGTGCCTCCTGTGAAGGTTAGGCTGAGATTGAGTGACTGGCCTGTGGTCACCCACTAATGGCTTGTGTCTAACCCTGTATACTTAACTAAACTGGCTCCTTGACTGGCTACAGTGTTGCTCTTTGAGCTTGTGCTGTTGGTTTTTAGGAATATGCTTGCTTCCACTGAGCTCTATGTGTTGGTGGTCATGTGTCAATTGGACGCATGCAGAATGGTCGCCGCCTGTATATACAGACACTCTTACCGGCAAACAGGGAGTTGCCTGGAAAGCACACAATGCAAGAGGCATGGGGAACCTCTACTCTGTTGGCTAAATAGGGTTCAGCAGAAGTCCTAAATGCCTGTTGGAGGATGTAGGGAGCTCAGAAAATAGCATGCAGGTCTAATCCTGGTCCCCACCCCTGCATTACAAAAAGTTCACGACTTTCCAATATTCTCTCAGGAAAAATAAACTTACATTGCAATCCTATGTATGTTTACTCAAAAATAAAACCCTTCAGTGCAACCCACCCTTGCACTTTTTTACGGAAATTGGGAGTATGCTCAACAATATACAGTACACTTATGATTCAGTATTATTACAGGTAAAGCTTTTTTTAATTAAAAACATTAACACAAACCAGTTCATAAAGCTACATCTGATAATAATTTGAAATGTAATGTTGGTTAGAATTGGTATTCCATAAAATTCACAGGATTATTCTTAATTCAAGATGGCTCATACAGGTGAATAGGTAAACAAGTTTAGAAAAGTAGTACATGAGAATACTATATATTAACATTCATAAATATGTTTCTTCTAATCTAAGAGCACAAAAACGTTTTCAGAACCCTGCTCACTTTCCTGGGAGAGTTAAGCTTCTACTTTAAAATCTCTCTTTGAAATCAATTTAACTTTCGTTACATGCTCTTCAGATTTAGAAAAATATAAATAAAATTTGGCACGAGCAGCCTATTGTTCAACAGGCTTTCCAAATGTTTATAAATTAGACTTTGGCCATTGATCATTCTAATTGTTATCATCATCCCCCGCTGGTGCTCCTTGGTTAAATGTAATCTTCCTCAAAAGAAAAGCAGCATCTATTATGCAGAGAGCACACAGGATCAGACAAAACACCTGCAAATGAAAAGAAAGTAGTTCAGATGCCAGTAAAATGTTCTGGGCATTATTCTTTATTGAATCACAGCAACAGCCTGTGCCTAGTTTACAGCATCTGCCACAGCTCATCAAAGAGTCCTGTCCTGTGAATTTCAATTTTGATGTTTAATTTGTGATAGATGAAAAAAACTGAATTCTTTTTATCTTGTGTTCCATAAAGTAATCTGCCCCAACGTTTTTGGGGAAATCGTCTCCGGTTTGACCTTGCCTGACTTCTATCAGTTGTATTCTTCCAGTAGGCTCCAATACTTACTCATCTCAATAGGCTACTCTGACCATGGTAAAATAGGGATACAGTACAGTCATACCTCTTGTTACATTTGCTTCATGATACGTTTTTTCAGGTTGTGTCCCGCAGCGACCCAGAAGTACTGGAAAGGGTTACTTCCGGGTTTCGCCACTTGTGCATGTGCAGAAGCGCAAAATGACGTCACGTGCATGTGTAGAAGCGGCGAATCGCGACCCGTGGGTGCGCAGATTGCATTCCTTTCAGGTTGCGAACGGGGCTCCGGAATGGATCCCATTCGCAACCAGAGGTATCACTGTAGTTGCACCTTACACAAGTGGGGATGGTGGAGAAGGATAACATACCTACTTTAACAGAACTGATTGGGCACCATTGCACTTGGCAAGTCTGGATGTAAATTATATTCTTCTCTTTCATATAAGAAACATGATATGAACTGGTATGCCATTGCTCCGTTTTAATGCAGAAAATACTATTATTGGCTCCACTGGCAGAATAACAACTCACTGAATGAAATTATTAACTTTTGCAGAATCCCATTGATTTCACTGTTACTTGCGCCAAACTAGATGTAATTCCATTCACGCAATTAGAAACACGCTGATATTTTTCTTTAAGAGTAAAAAGCAGGTGTGGGAGGTTCAATCATGATCCTGGCCTGAGATAGGAGACTCAAATGCTTCACTATAGTCCTGATTTAGATCTGTCCTAACCAGCTATTTGTATTAGGAGAAAAGTTCTAACCAATGGCTGGAGTCAGAACACAGAGTGCATTTAGATATGGGGATTATTGGGTTGGTTTTCCTGATTATGATGCTAGCACTTCTGTCCCAGTAAGAACATTCTTTTTACACTACATTATGGAACTGTGGTTTTTTGATCAAGAGACACCACCATGACACCAGTGAATGATATGCTATCAGCCCCCACCCTTTATGCACATGCACATGCACGCACGCACTCCCCCCCCCCCCCCGGATTCACCCATGAAAATGCCTGGACAGACATTTTGGAATATATGCTGGAATACCACCCCAAAATTTGTGACATGACTAGTGGCCAGGATGCTGCCCAAAATTCCACCCCACAATTTTCCAGGTCAAACAGTGTTGCAAATGGAAACAATTAACATGGAAATGAACAGATTTTGCTAAATTTCCAAAACTGGTTTGTATATTGTGTGAAAGATCACATAAAAGCAAACATTATCAAGTAAGTAAATGTCAGAAAAAATGATTAAAATAGTGTCTGAAAGCAGTCATAATTTTGCAAGCCATGGTCTACCAAGCTGGGAACGTCACATCTGAAAGGCTCCTCTGGCTTTCATTTCTATGGGACAATACTATCCAGACTCTCTTACTTACCCCTCCAACCAAAGTTTCAACTACGGTTTTTATTACTGTTGCACACAGTCCCACAATGAAGAGAAACAGCGCCCCCACCAGGGAGTTGAAAGCATCCTGAAAAACATAGCAAATAACATGGCTTAATGTTGACTCCAGGACCAGGCATTTTGCTACCTGAGGTTGTGTAGTCAATGGCATCCCGTAAGCCAGGGTGCATAGTACATACGTGAGGCCAGGAAAGTTATTTTGGCACCCAAGATACAGGGATATTTATATATTATCAAAACATCTAGACTGTTCCTTATTTACAAAAAAGAATCATGCAGCAGTTACCAAAATATAATAGAACAACACATTATGCAAAGAAACAATTAAAAAACTAAAATTATCAGTTAGGTATGAGACCATCACATGTAACTGCAGCATTTCAACACTTCCTCAGACCTTGAATAGCCTAGATTGCAATCACCATATGCCCAGGAGAAGACACACGTTTTAACCTGGTGCCAAATCCCATCAAAGTTGGGGCATTCCGAGGGGGTTAGAATTAC